GATTAACGTCTACATTCGTCCGCACCTCGAGTATGCGGTGCAGGCATGGCGTCCGTGGTTAAAACGGGACATTCGTCTCCTGGAGCAACCACAAAGAAGAGCCACTAAGGCAACACGTGGTCTATCGGGCCTTAGTTATGAACTGCGCCTTCGTTCGATCGGTCTGTACTCCTTAGAATACCGACGACTTCGCGGTGATCTGATCCTCACTTACCGGATACTAAGAGAAGAGGACCATCCATGTAAGTCGCTGTTAACATTATCTGCTGACAAACGATGCCGAGGCCATGCACTAAAACTTGTGACTCAATATTCCCGTTTAGATTGTAGAAAGTTTTTTACTCTCTTAGTGTCTGTCCGCACTGGAACGCACTGCCATCGCATGTGGTGAACGCACCAAACATCGAGACATTCGAAAGACTATGGGACTTGCACTTACATGATACACATTATATAACGGTATGACAAACTGCAGTGTCTAACTTACTGATATTTTTGTGTCACACCTGAAACTTTTGTTTTCTTCCATTTGCCATCCTGTGGGTCTTGTAAAGTTATTGCTTTTTATCCCACCATACACTATTGAACTATTGAACATAGCCAATTACACCCATCTGTGTGTACTCCGCTCTCATTAAGCGGTTCGAGCACGTTGATCTATCGAGGTTCAGAAAATTATATAAACAGTCATGCTGAAGGAGCCGTACACTCGCATTTATTGTCCAGCGCAGCTGCTACGGAATGCGCGAGGCACGAAACGGCATCCAATGTAGGTCAGGGAAGTCTATGGGCAAGCTGATAGACATCATCAGTAAGGGTTGTGAAGGTCACTTGGACAAGTAGTTTTTTTCGAAAAACTTCCAACAACACATGTACTTGCATTCGAAGGATGAAGGAAGGATTTAAAGTCGGCCCACACTTCTCCAACACAAACATGACTGAGTGAAGAAAACACGCCTGCAGAGCCTAACGGTCTACGCGCTGTACTCCGTTGCCCTCGTTTACTAATTTTACCTATTGTGCGATGGTCTTGCTCCACATGTTTCTGTGACTGTGGCCACGAATGCATCCTGTATTTTTGTTATGTATGCTCTCGTTTGCACCCATTCGACAAGTTTATTACGATCGTCTGTAACCTTACTGGTCCGGTGTCTATGATAACATTTCTTGGAATTGATATCAGAGCTTGGGTTTCAATGCGCCGCACTCGCGTCTCTTTTGTAGTTTGACTTTGGATGAGTCACAACCCGAGTCATGTGCACATCCGATTCCACGACAGTGACACAGAAAGGGTCATCTAACCCCTTGATTCAACCTCCCCTAACTTACACACCATTGCAGTGATTTCGGGCGAGTAAAATCCTCAGCGATTCCCAAAGGGGTCAACTGGGATTTTACAAAGTAAAATTAAGCACAAGGATTGGGTCACTGCTCAGTCAGGAAACAAAATTACTAACAAAATAGTCAATATCAAATGCTTCCTGACTGCTAAGAATCAGTTATTGGTGACAAATCATTTGTGATTGTTTAGTGAAATAGACCGCTTCAGGTAATGTTATTACCTGAAATACGAATAGAAACCTGCAACGCAGCGCCGCATCTATCGGCTCGCTAGTAGATCATTGTTCGTTCGAGTCTCTCAGTCGCTCCTCACCCATTCGCCACAATACAGGTGTGAAAGTGATTTTCAGACAAAACAAAAGCAAGGAACCGATTTAACTTGGAACAGATTAAGCATTGTTAACTGACCCATGAACTTGCATTGCCATTTGGATGATTAAAATTAATTAACAAATTATTTACTGTGATTTAAAGTAAAAACAGTAACCAATGGTTAATTTGTTATTCAAACTACCATTTTGACGGTATTTGTTCATTTCGAACCGGTATATGGGCAACAGCCTTAGGAAGGTTGGGAACCACTGCTCTATATCCATCTACGCATGGCTGTTTTTCTTGGAACCTTTCCACGTCAATATCGCACGCCTGTTCTGATTTTACTGACGATGACAGTGGCATTAGTGAAACAGTGTGGCATTTGTAGTCCACAATGCTACATCCTCATAAGACATGTCCATCTCCTAAAGCTCTTTTCAATGCGTTCCTTTGATTAAACATATACTTGTAACCGCAATCATTTCCCTCTCCATTGGCAATGGCTCTCTGTCGAATTGCGGGATAGACCGAACTGGGATTCATCTTGGAAAACCTCTTGCACAACCGAATATGTAAAGCTTCAGATATGGATAGAATGGTAAACACTCGAAACTATGGGCTTACAGACTCTACGTAAAATTGGATTATTCTATATATTCAGTCGGTGTTGCGGTGGAAAAACAACATCGTTGCTTTCGGGCGGACAATATCCAATCTCTATCTGCTCTGGCTACGGTCCTAGTGATGGCATTGACCAAGATTCACTTCAGTGTTAATCGCAGTGTACATTGAGATCGCGCGTTGCAATCTATTCACACGAGTTCTTCAAAAGACCACCCAAACATCATTGTTTGATAAGGAAACGAAAACAGGTGGCTTCGATTGTTCAGGTGGTGGTTGAACTGTTCGCTGAGCTTGGTAATTTTGTTGTGGACGGTTCATCACCAATCGAAGTGATATCAGTGCACACTCACCGAGGCTTCCCTACGCCACGATACACAACAACGCACTGATGATGTCATCTAGATTGGCGACGAAACGTCTGCAACAAAAGTGCCAAACTCAGCGAACAGGTCAACCGGTACACTATCATTTTCTAGCTACTGTTGCATTCAATAGGACAGCGTCTCGTTCAAACAATGAATATGTTTTTACCTATGTATTTACACACAAGAACATCCACTACTCGAAGTGAAAAACTAGGTACTTGATTGGAGGGGTTCCATTAGGCATTCTTCGCTGTAAACTGACGCTGCTGCTACAACCGAGTGTAACTCGATGGCATGTGCTCCGCGGCGATCTGAAGTCCGATGTTCCGCCAGAGGCTACAGAAACCAGCCCACTACTCAGACGTTGGAGTTCAAACCTGAGTAAAACTCATCTGCTACGCTAGTACGGAATCGCGAACTGTGGGTTCAACTCTTACCGGTATGTAGTGTAAAAGTTGCGCAATTCCTTGAGACCGGGATAATAAGCGCTATACTAATGGACAGTAAGATGTCGAAGTAGCGGCGTGCTCACAGTGGCCGATATCATCAAACGGGATGCGCTGCGTGTGACTGATGATGTGATCAAACTCCAAATGGACATTGTCTCGTTTAGTGAACGCTAAGTGATGGGATGTGAACACTTGTGTTAACAGGTGGTTCTGTTGGTTCGGTGGTTGCATTCTGAATGAAATGTGAGAAAACAAGCTCTGGGCCTTAATAAGCGATAAGCCCGATCATTCACACCACAAGTAATGATAACAATATCTGTCTTCCTCACAATTAAATATGAGCGACGAAAGTGACCGGTACAGTATACCTACGACAGCCCCTGTGTTGCGGTCAGGATAGGGAGGAACACACGTGTATAGACGTTCAAAGTGGCTATTCAATGGAGTGCGATCGAGCAGAGCGTTTTCTGATAAGCGCGATAACGACACCGTCGATATCATCACAAACGCGTAGAATATAACCACCGTAATTGGGTTCCGAGTTGAAGAATCAAATTATCGTTAAAACACCTGTAAACCTATTTCGAAGACACCGCACAGCTATCTCGGGGAAGTGGAAGGTGAAGCAACTGTTGCCCTTTTATCGAAAGCACACGCTAGAAGACTCTATGTCGGATGATTTGAAAGTAGAGAAACCAAGGGCAGCAAGCTACTAGCTTGCTGGAGAAATATGCAGAGAATAACTAGGGCGAAAACAGAATTGGTGACCGAACATCATTTATTGTTCATTCCGAGAGAAGGGTTCTTATCGAGGTTTCTCACTTCCCAGAGTAAAATGAAATTCGCCTAGGGCCCATTCAGAGCTCTCGGCTCAGCAGTCTGGTCCACAATGCCCCTAGGTCGAACCCAGCTTGAAAATGCGACCACGGAGCCCTTTGATGGCCATCTGAGGCTGGTCACATGTATCCCTAACAGGTTTCGGACAAGTTGGGCGTGATTTTCAATCGTAAGAAGTGATGGGCTTGTGACAATGATCAACCGAAGGTTAGTTTTTATGAGTTCACAACCTATTGGTTGGAGACGTCTCACTCGAAGCAGACGAGAAACGAACAAGGAATGGGTGTGCTCTTCAAACTGTACACATCTCGCCAGAAAAGTGGTAATGCTCAGTTAGGACAGTCCTCCCCCGCAGTCGCTCAACGTAACCGCTTTCTGATGTTCTATGAGGATTAAACAACGCAGCTGGCGAGATCGATGTTGCCCGTTTTATGGGGATGGGTGATCGGGAGAACTAGCAGTTGTTGTGTATAAGTTCCAGCGGTTTGTGACACCAATAGCTTAGAAAAACAGACATACACCCATGGCGTATAGGAACAAAGATGTAGCTTGCATCCTGGTTTCACAGTCGGAACTCTCCAAGCGCACTCAGTCGTGGCCGCATGGTATGTGGGTCGATTCAGCGTTTATAAACACCTAGATTGGGGGGCAGCAGTTCCGCACGCCATTGTAGGAATTGTTTTTCATCTGAGAATATTAATACGAAGCCGTCCCACCACAAGCCCATTTGAAAACTGTAGATTTACTGGTATCAGCGAGTTCACTAACCAACAGAATGTCTAACCGAGAACACATTTGGAAAGACTCAGGAGAGACAAGCAGAGACACCGGAACTAGTGGAGCATAGCATGGGGCAGTAACTAACCCTCGAAGAGTTTGTCTGCACAACGCATCAAGATTACCAACAGCACTACGACGGAGACAAAATAACAGCGCTGAAGACACTGGGAACACACAGATGCCGTCCGGAAGCATAAGGCTTGCGAATACACAGGTATCAGATGGTAGAGCGATGCAGTCTGTTTTCACCCAACCAACCCAACGGAATTCTTATAGGGGGAGACAAGATAGGTCGAAGCGGATGCAATCGTTAGTATTGATTATTAGGTCGGAAATGATATTGGTTGGAAGGCACAGGTAAATGACACTGTCAAGAGCTGCAATTAAAACACTGATGGGAGACAGGGTGAGAACTAGTGGCCAAATAATGGTCCAAAGCGAGCAGAGACGAGATATGCTGAGAACCCATGAGTAAGAGCTACGCCAAAAAAATAAAACAGAAACCCACTGGTAACGATGAGCACGCAGAGCGGAGCCACAATTGCAAAGTTAAGTGCAGACAATGGGTGAAGGGTGTGAGGCACTTTGGAAGGAGAGAACAAGTGACAAGACAGAGTAGAATAAAGTGCGACACAGAGGAGCATCTATCGTGAAAAAACTAACAGATCACAAAGTGTGAAGCAGCAAATAATTTCAGAGTTCAGGCCGCTTTTGCATAGTGCTAGAATCACATCACATCGATGACGGGAAGCAAAGGAGTTATGTACACGAGAGACCAGCTGCGGTAAGTGGAGTGGGATTGGCGTACAAGCGGATTGGGGTTTAGTCGTGTCAAAATGGTTACAATTCGCCGAACAGATCAGGATGTGTCCGCACTTGCTCCTCATGTAGATGAGCCAGCTGCTTTTGTAACTCCTCCAACTCCGACTGACGTGATCGTATCATCGTTTGAGTAGTAATAACGTTCTAAAATAGTAGGAAAAAGAGATATTTGGTGATAAAAGGGATTAGTTCGGTTCAGTTTGGCAACCACGACCCGGGCACTGAGGTGTGGTGGATACAGCTGCCACGACTCGTGTCGCTAGGATAACAATAGATAACAATAGTGAAGAATGGAATATTGACAACTTGTAGCGGGAAACCGAATAAGATTAAAAAAGACGAATTGACAAGGACTCAGATAAAGGATGAGAATGGCTAAGATATACCACGATGGCGATGGGAATATGTAAAAGAAACTGCTTATAGAATTAAAAGACAACTAACGCAATTGCTCATGGGAAAAAGGCACTGAGTTAAAATGGAAACAAAGTTGTACAAGTGGCCACTATGCGCATCGCATTGCGCACGGACGGATACACTGAAGTAGCTGTTAGAACGACCTGGATTCAAAACCGATGAAGCGTCGGATGCATCCAAGTTAATAAGTGCGCGAATGTGGCTTATCTTCAAAGACCAAAGGTTCTGGATATAATATGTTTTCAATGTTTCGGTGTGCCCTGTCACCGAAGGCAACCTAGGAAAAATAATTAGTGAAACCAGTGACTAGTGCCCAATATCCGAACGGTGGGAAATACGAATAAAGTGTACCGGTCGTCGGGCAGTTTCACCAGTCGCTCTAGTTGACTGTGCAGCAACGAGGAGCCAGCACAAGGTTGTGAGACAGCCACGAAGATGGGCATAGTGATCGCTGCCTATGCCATAAACGCTCGATAAACACGAAATAATCTCGCATTGCCGGTTTCTTCAACTGTGTATCGACCGCAGCCTGTATCTCAGTAGCACATCCCTACACCACAAGCACTAGCATAATAGACGTTGGCACCCACCGAACGGAAAGGTCCCCTTGTACTTTAACCGACCACAACATATTAGTCACAAGTGGTGCGGACAGTCAGTATCCTGTTAGCCTTTAGTGCAACAGACTCGTATCAGACCTTTGCGTGCACCCAAATGTCAGCAAAAACAACCGAATTTTATTGGGTCCACAATCCTCGAAACTGGAATACCGGGCTGAGTCGGATTATCGCCCAATATTAACAGACTGTGTAGACAAACCGAAGGGCGACCGATATGGACCGGAATGTGCTAAAACAGATTGAAATCAGTCTGCTGGCCAAGACTGAGCGGATTTCTACGGTATCGGTTGCTCCAATACGAAAACACGAGTATCCTATCGAAATGGATGGCGTTCGATGCACCCCCAACCCGAGTTGCAGGAGGGTACTATCTAATGAAATGTGGGTACCTAAAACGAAGTGTCTATTCACGTGTGCTCTGGTATCATTCAATCAGTTCCATAAATCAATGCCGCCCCATCATTCTGGTATATCACAAGACGATCCACAGACTGCCGTAAATGCACCTAAGAGGAGAGTCACGTAGAGTCCTGGAAACATTAAGCAAAGTACAGCATAATATACTTCTATGCGGATCACCAGCAACAGCATACCATGAATGAGATCAGACTGCATGGAAGGGTATCCGATACTCACCTGCAGAGTGGGACTGAGTGATGAAGTTAGATGCGGGTCACTGGCAACCCATGTGAACTGGTCATGTTGCACGTAAGCTGACAACTTGTCGGTAGCCTCTTTAACGGCTTGCGCAGCAGCCTATAAGACGGGAAATAAAGTTTATCATGACATGTGAAATTTCTTCACAGACAATAATATAAACGAAGCTAAATCCTACCTGCAAATTTTGAACATCACCAGCGGTGCGCGCGAACTTTCTGGTACTGACAGACGTGAGGAGCTGCGCGCTCGCTGCAGCTACCCGACGTACGGCACCCAGGAGATGCTCTCTTGATGGATCCAAGCGAGCAGCGGTGGCAAACAAGTCCGCGGAAACGGTCCGTGACCGCTCACCATGTAAAGTATCGGAATAGAGCTGAGCTAGATGGCACAAATCTTGAGTGGCCATTGAGACAGCTAGTTCATTACGCCAGAGCGAAGCGGACGTGGTGCTCCTGTGATTTGAGCCGACGGCCTGTCTAACGCGATCAGCTGCCTCGGAGGGAGGCGCAAGCCCGACGGATCGAACCATTCTAATTAGACCCAGGGTGGCAGAGGCTGTTGAGTGAGCAAACCGCAGTAGTGACATGCGATCTTCTCCAAGCTTGAATACAGAAAGTATAGGGAAGTGTAAATATATAAATATAAATGTATGTATAAAGCTGAAAAGGAAAAAATACTTCGTGACGAACAACAGCGCAATTTTACGTAGTAAACCAAGTGTCCTTCACATCGATTATGATAAGCTGGCTCGAATACCTAACAAGTACGAAGGCCACGGGAGCAATGTGGGTGAATATTCTTGAGACATTCTGAATGGCTTCCAGGCCTCAGCCTAGGGACTGGAGTTAGGTGGGTAGTGAATGGGTAGAAGTAGGGCACGTTTGTGATTGCGTAGCCATTCCCAAAATGTGCACTGGTTCGATGTCATGACCGGCAAGTAAAAACGTACAGTTCGTGTACGCCCATTCAACGAACAGCATGATCTGTCTAAAATGTTATCTATTAATGCGGTTTTTGCAAATCTCAACGATGTCCAGAGTCCGTCCCCCCCCCTTCGACCCCGATATTGATTACAGTTAGCCACCTTCAGTGTACGAACCCCATGAAGATTGGGTGACAGGGCGACTTAGTGTGCCCCCTGGAGTCCATCGCTATCGATGTTTCTTGCTTTTCCGAGACTTAATTCCAGGACCCGAGTAATGCCTTCCAGTTGACATCCTCTGCTGTCTGTTTGACGACACAAAAGCAGCTCTCACTGATTCGCATCATATTGAATGAAAAATCTTAGGCCGCGCTGCTGGACCAGTTTACAACTGACAGCAGATTGTGCGAGGTTCGGCTTCAGGGTTCATGCAGGATCAACAGACATCATACAGTGAGACGCAATCAGTTAAAGATATTTACTTACATTACAACCGACTGCAGCTGCACATCAGTTAAAGACGACTTTTACCGCGTACTCCACCAGCTTTTGAGTAAAGCTGAAAAATTATGCGTCGTCGTCCTCCTCGGGCAGATTTCCATGCACGAATGGGTTGCCTGCTGCCATGCGATATTCATTTTGGTGGCTGTTATTAGCTCGATCAGGATCGTTTTGCTAACGGAGATAGACTCCTCACGTTAGTGGAGGAAAATCGAAGACTTGGCCACTTGGCGTCCCTCTTCACTAAATCAATCGTGCTTACAAATCGAGAACAATGCAATTAGTTTCAGATGGCGGGACCGTGTACGGAATTGCATATCGATATGGCCCACCCATTTTGACCCAGATCATACCCAGGTTTGTGCGGAATCTCTGTGCGCTTCCGGGGTTCCTCAAAACCAAGGCACTGTACGCTCAATACCAACAGACTACCTGACCCCTCCATTCAAGTGGCATATCATTCTCCCTTGTCAGATGCGTGCTCAAGTGCCTCACCTTACGATATCGAGTATCATCTGGATTTCTTACAGAAGGCAACGCTCTTCCTATCAATCTTGTTGCCCTTTGAGGAGCTGGATCTCTGCTCGCCTAATGGAAGTGTTTGGGGGTCATAGAGATATGCCGGTAACCAAGTACGGCGCACTCAGGCGAAACCCATGTAGTGGAGAATTTTGGAGCTGCTCTCTCTCAACACTGTACTCCATGATCGACCGGTTTCGTTCTGATTTGGACTCGTCAAGTAGGTGAGCTGAGACGGGAACTCAACACAGTGGTTAACAGCTTTCGTCATGGTCACTAGGCCAGAGTTCCACAGCAGCGTTTGACACAGCGGTTAGAAGTTCATTATTGGGTCTCAGAGTACCCACCGTGTGTCGGGTTCCCCTCTCAACTAAAGCTGTCTCTACTTGACGAGTCAAAATCAAGACGAAATCGGTAGGCCGTGCAGTGCTGTTTTGGGAGAGCAGATTCGAAACCCTCCATTTCGAATGCAGTCCCAACGATCTAAATGGCATAGAATTGCTAAAAGCAAACTCGCTTCAATCGATATTGCGCGTCGCACTCCAGACACACGGCGGGTATTCCAAAGCCCATGTAGTCATCGCATTGTGCTTTAAAGATGGATAGCAGCTATCTGGATACTGTAAGTGGGAGCAAGTAGAATTTTAAATATGTACAACTCCATCGCAATATAATCAAGAATAACAGTCAGCGAACAAGCTCGTTTTCGGTGGATCTCGTCAGGCTGGTACACCACAACTGATACGAATAAAATTAAAACAGACGGGAGTAAAGTTCAAAGATCTAGGTCATCTAAATGACAAAGTCAAGTGCTTGGTTCACAAGCGGTCAATGATATGTCAGTTGCATGTTTCTCAGCAGGGGTTATTGCAATACGGGACCAGAGAAGAGAGAGAATCTGAAAGAATTTTTTGTGCACATAGGTCTGGGTTATGAAGGCAGATGGCGATCGCTTCGGCTGTTGCTAATAAGCGACATCTTACCGCTCATGTGTAGCATCCAAGTACGCGGTAAATTGGCTGAAAACATTGGTACGTATCGATCTGGTGGTTAAAACCAACTAGATGTGCCAACACGGCGCTCGTCACTGATTTTGTTTCACCTGCACACAGCCAAGTCGGGCAATGCTCACGGATTCTCACAGCCAGTCTCCTGGTTGTTCTTCCGATATAACTTCCTCGACATGAACAAGTAAATGAGTATATACAGAAAGAAGTACTTGACTGAGGAAGTCTGTCCTTGAGTTGAAGCCTTACGATTGCTGTTGAAGTAAATCTTAGCCGTAAGCTTGCCGCATAGTAGGTACGGTTTATGGCGTCGTATAGTCTGCTGAGAAACATGCAACTGGTGTGTCATTGACCGTTTGTGAACCAAGCACTTGACCTTGTCATTTAGACGACCTAGACCTTTTAACTTTACCCTTTGAACTCTACTCCCGTCTGATGTTTTAACTCATTTTATTTGTATCAGTCGTGGTGTACCAGCTTGACGAGATCCAACGAAAACGAGCTTGTTCGCTGACTTGTTCTGATATCAAGAATGATATAATAAGTGTCTGTAATTCGTGATATTCTAATCGTTCTCCAAGTTCTTATGTAGCGTTTTAATATGTCTGACTTACAGTCTCATCGGGTCCAAAAATGCAAGATGTCGTTGCTAGTGTGCAATCGTTCTCTGAATCGAAAGACGGTGAAATGTAAATCCAACAAGGTTTTGAACTCCTGTACAGATGTAGCATCCACTACTTGTTTTGGCAGACTGTTCCAAAGATTAACCACTCACCTTTCGAAGCACAGGGAGTGGAATAATCGGTGTCCGCGTGTGTTGCTTGGCGTTCGTAAGTGAAGCAGCGGCCCCAACATGGGGCAGTCACCGTGATGACGTTAGGTCATGATTAGATTGACCTGCACCCGACGGTAGGACAAGATGTAGTCCTAGTTTCTCACACCGGTCTTCGTATGATAATACTCATAAACTTGGAATGAGCCTAGTAGCGACGTGTTGGACCCGTTCGAGCTTTTGCACCTCGCCTCCGATGATTGGACAATATACAGATGAGCTGTACTCCAATACTGGTCTTGGGATGGAAGAGAAAAACGAGTGGCGAGCACTTCAGACCAAGTACAGAAGCTGCGTTTGACTGTCCTAAGCATGCGCAGTCCGTTACGATATAGCCTGTTCGTGTTTTCAACGGACTTCAAGTAGCAGCGCGATAATACAGCTAGATGTGGGATGTAGCAGTTGGTCGTCAAGGGTGAAGGTTCGGTCATCACCATCCTTCCCCAGGCTCCCGAATACCGAGTTGCTTGGGTTGACCGAGAGGCAGACTTCCGCAGACACATGGAGGCGGTTGAGGTCTCGCTGAAGTAGGCTGCAGAAGTCAGAGGTGCTAATCACTCTCCAAATCTTCAGCTTGTCCGCGGACAGGGCACACGACGACCCAAGAAGTTTGGTCAGATCGTTGAGATGGATTAGGAACAGAGTGGGCCCCAACACCGTGTCTTGTAGTACTTCACTAATAGAGATATATCAGTCAGTTAGATGGCCGTCGACCTGTACCCTTCACTTTCGCACAGCGAGAAAATCCGGGATTCACTGATACAGTGACCCACCAATACCTCACTCAGCTTGTAGACGAGGAGCTCATGGTTTACTTTGTCAAATATTGCTGAAATCGATGTAGGTTACGTCGACAGACTTCACCTGATTGACTGCCTGTAACCATTCATGCCTCCTCACCAGCAGGTTGGTAATGCATGAGCGGCCTAGCATAAAACAGTGCTGTGCGGGCGTCTTCTGATTGGAGCAACTGTAGTGGACCCTTCTTCAAGATCATCTCGTCAACCTTGGCCAAAATGGGTGTCAGACAAATAGGCCTGTAGTCGTCCATTTTGCTGGGGTCTCCGCTACTTGGAATCGGCTTAACCACTGAACATTTCCAGTCGCTCGGGAATGAACCTTCGAATAGTGATCTGTTGAACAAGTCAGTCACAGCAGGTGAGATGATGGCCAATAGGGACTTAAGAATCAGTGAGTGCAGTCCGTCAGGGCCAGCAGGTTTGGGACCGTCAAGGTTGGCGAGCAGTTGATGCACCTCTTCAACACTGCGTTCCACGTGGGCTGGCTAAGCTCTTCATTTTTCTGTCTGTACTTTCCATATTCCTTCAGTACACAGGATTTCACACACCGGGACACCTGTGCTTGTAGGATACAACACAGGTAAAATATTCGTGTCAGGTGTAACTGGGCTGCTAGTGACTGCGGGACTTCGTGCTGGTGGGTTTTCATGGGGCGAACAGGAAAGCTTAGCTTCCGGCTAGCTTTCTGGGCCAAACACACCGAACTGATCACAACGGAATGATTCGCCCTACAAGGCGGTTTGCGATTCTGTTCTACTTTCTCAAACGGTATCTCGTTTCGTCAATTCGAACACAAAATTTGAACGTAATCATACTGGATTTCACGAAAATGCTCAATCGATAGTCCAATGCATGAAATATGGAATCTGACGTGACACATAACACATGTGAGTGCAGTTGCTCGAATTCCGACAACACGGGAACAGGTAAGGTGATTGTTTCGGTATTATAAAAATTCCGAGACCAAGATAGCAGCCAATTGTAGAGCAAGATCTCATAAATTAAAGGGAGAAGGCAAAT